GCCAGGCACCCGAAGCAAATGAAGTCAAAGTGCAGTTGAAATTGACGAGTTTGTTTTAGGTTTTTTTCCTGAGTTCAAAGGGGACTGACAGTGCCCAAGGGGCGCTACAATAAACCTATTCTATTCTATTCTATTCTATTCTGCTTCGTTTGATGTGGATTGGCGCCATGAGTAAAAAAACACACGGCTCAACTTCTGCCATGCTTGCAATCAAACATTCACAAGCTAAGACTGGAGCAGAAAGGTATTTACGACCAAATACTGCGGAATGTCAATAATGGGGTTGGAGGACACTTCTTCCTAGATGCGCCAGGAGGGACTGGCAAAACGTTCCTACTACGACCGATTCTGACGACAATTCGATCCAATAAATGACATAGCCCTAGCACTTGCATCCCCGTTATAGCTGCAACTCTGCTACCTGGCAGAAAACCCGTTCATTCAGTTTCGAAATTGCCTTTGAACGCGCAATTCATTGAAACTCCCGCGTGTAACATTTCCAGAGCATCCGGCATGGGAAAAGTACTGCAGAAATGCAAACCTATTGTTTGGGATGAATGCACAATGGCGCAAAAAAGCGCTCGAGGCCCCTGATCGAGCACTGCAGGATTTGCGAGGAAACAGCAGACCATTTCCGATGCACTGCTACTGCTTGCAGGAGACTTCAGGCCACCACTGCCTGTAATTGCTCGATCGACACCAGTTGGCGAAATAAATGCCCGCCGTCACCACTTACTCGGGAATTCTCGAGCGCGACTGGGTGCAGTAAACAATTGCGCTGACTTCGACAGCGGCTAGAAGGACAATCCTGGGTTTCGCACGCAATACATACCGCTAACCGGTGGCCTTACATTTTTCTCCGTTGGGAATGTATTCCTTCTTCTTGCCCTTATTTTCCAATGCATCTTTTTGAGCCACAGCAACGCGTGGCGGGGTCCAGCTAGTAGTTTCTAAAACTGCCCCGGTCAATGGCTGGATGGTCGGAAGCGGAGTGATCGAGTATTCAATGAACGTTTTGGACAGGAAATCATTGAAGCTATCAGCGGTTAACTGGGCATCAACTATGGGATTTCCAAGAGCGTCTCGGAGGATGGGATGCTGCGTCTTTCTGTGAGTTCGTATTTTTCTAGAGAAAAGTTTCGAGACATTTAACGAATGGTTTTCGGTAAACTGAACCTCTTCGGCTAACTGTTTTTCTTCAGACAGTCTCTTAGCTCGATCAAAAATATCACGAATCAAGGGCAGAACAGAAACATCGTTCTGAATATGGAAACGACGATAAAGCCTGCGCAATCTGCGACGAAAGGGTAGGGGTAGGAAAACCTCATCCCCAACATTAATAATTTTCTTACGGGGAACAAAACGAGAAATAAGCGGATCCAAAATTTCGTACAGATTTGCAGTGCAAACATTTACATCCGAACTAAGGAAGAAATCAGTCCAGTCGTAGGAATTAAGGTGTGTTAATAATTCGGTTGAGCGAGCTGAACGGAAATTGCGGAAAAAGCTATACTTTGGGGACGAAGTTTTTTCAGCCTCGAATTCCAACGTTGAAACAACTATGTCATGGTCTGAGCCCCCCAGGGGGCCAAGGAATGACACCGACGATGGCATGCAGCCTCTACAGAAAATTAGGTCAAGTATGCTTGAGCCTCGGGTGGGAAAATCGACAACCTGATTCCACATCGCAACATCTACAGCCTCAAGAAAGTTTTCGAACCTTCTTGGGCCTGAAGGCGGAGACCAGCGGACTTCGGGAAGATTAAAGTCACCCGCAACCAATTGACACTTAAAGCTTGAGTCGGCCGCAGCATGAAATGCCTGTGAGAGTAAACGATCAAAGTTGTCGTTGGCGTTGGGAGGACGATAGACGCAGCCAACGAGTAAGGAGAACTTATTTTTTAGTGCAACCTGGAGCCAGCAGCTGCCTTCTACTGCGGAAAAATGCGGGAGGACAAGGGACAAAAATGTAAGTGTTTGCTTAACGTAGACGCAGCTGCCCCCACCACGGCTATCTTGGCGATCATTTCGAATGCAATTATAGCCTAGAAGCGAGAGTTCGGAGTCAGCTACTGAGGCTGATGCCCACGTCTCAGTTACTAAAACAATGTCAGGACAATGGACGAACACCAGAGTCTGAAGCAATGGCGTCTTATTAAGCAAGGATCTGGCATTTAAAACAAAAAGTTTGAAGGGAAAGGCTATTAGTTTTTGAGGGAGGTGGGCTACATCGTCCAGTTCTGGGCTGCCCACGGAGCAAATGGTCTAGATGCAACCATCCGGTTTTGCAAAAAATTTTGTGGCATCGAAAACTTCTGACGTGGATAAAAAGGGATAGGACTTGGGGGAGGGAATGACGGGCAGGTGAACTGGTAACCATTGCTAACTAACTTATTTTCAGCTGGAAATCCGCGGGGCAGATACTGCAACGTATTCCCGCCGGAACGAAACTGAGGATCGGATGAATTAACTGATTCAGTATGGACATTATCATGAGGAATAAATTGGTAAAACGGCCGTGGAGGAAACAAGTTAGGGGGTGGGGGACGCATTGTTTCCATTGGAGCAAGAGTTTTATTAAACGGCGGAAAAATCGGCATATTCGGCCTAAATGCCTCGATATGAGGGCTGGGGGCAGTTGAGAACCCGCTACGTTTTGAGTCAGGGTATTTGAGGCATTGTTAGCCGATTGTGGAGGAAAAGATTTTATAATGGTGCTGGATTTACTGGGTGTCCGAGTGGCTGAGACAGCAATTGGATTTGCCTTTGACTTAGACACATGCTTAGGCTTACTAGGGGTTGCTGGGGGAGTCGATAGAGGCGTGTTTATACCAGGCGTGGTGGTGTGTTTAAAGAGCTCAGCATTAAAAGTAGTCGAATTCCCTACGGAATTGACTATGCCGTGATGTGCAGATGCCGCAGATGGTGTTGTAGAGGACTTATTCAGACTGACAGTAGGTGTCATTATCTTGGTGCTGGTTTTTGCCGATTTTAATTTATTCAGTCTTCGCTGCAGGGGTGTGAGGTCTGGCGAAACGGAGCAGCGCCATTTACGGCAGATGTCTCTAGTTATCTCCCTACTCGACAAGATAAAATCGACTTCTATCATGGAGAAAAGGGTAACTAGTATCGGCGCATTACGGCTAAGCGAGCGAAGTCGCTTAGCTTGTGCGACACTGACACTCAAGCCACAACTTTGTAGGAATACATGCGCTCCCTCCCTAGCATATAGGTGGCTCGGAATGTTTCGCAGTACGAAATTATGCTTACGTTTAATTCTTTCCTCAGTTTCCGAACTTATTACCCCAATAAGTTTAAAAGTTTGTTCAAGCACTTTTTCAGAAGTGCCGTTTATGTCGCCATAAATCAGCTGATCGATTATTTCGCCGGCTGATGGCCTGCTACGACTAGCAGAGGCGTATTTTGGGACGACTGAAGGGTCGAGAGGTTCTACATGTACTAAAGGGATTTGTGAGTTAATCAGATCTGCAGACGGCGAAGAACATACGCTGGCGTCTGCCATGTCTTCAGTCACGATTTTAGCACCCAAAGACGGTGGGGAGGCCGCAAGCTTTCGCCGTTTAGCACGTGCTCTGCGGGGCATTACAGACAGGAAAGTTTTTCGTTACAGAAGAAGGGTCAACACGTTGCCAACGTACGGAAAATCGCACTTAATAGCAAGTGCTGGATGGAAGGTCGGATGGAACCTTGCGTCGGCACCGTCGTGACGTGGTTCGTCTCTGCACGCCGCTGGACAGACGGTGACGGGATGTATCTCCACATCGACATCGTCTTGACGCGCCCACCTACGCCGTCGGAGACCGCGGCTTACGGCGAATTCGAGTCGCTCTCCACTACAACCCGAATTCGTGGTCCCATAGTGGTGTTGGGCCGTGCCACAAGGGCACATGGCAGCCCTATTCAGGGATGGCACTGCCAGCCTCCACGAGGGGAAGGGCCTAGAAAAGGTGGCCTAAACATTGCTGGGTACCACGCCGTCTCCAGGCTAACCAGGGCCGCAGACGTCTTATCATGGTCGAAACAATCAAAATCGAAACAACAACAATACCAATAACAGCAACAACCATACTCATTATCCTCATCCTACCTCTTCTTCCTCTTCCTCTGCCTATTCTTCTCCCTCGTCACCTTCTTCTCCATCTCCTTCCCGTCGTCCCACTCGTTGTTGCCAGACTGGCAGGGTGAGCCCACTCACTCTGGCAGCCTGGAATGTTCGTTTCCTTTTAGACAATTCGAGGAGCAACCGACCGGAACGGAGGACGGCGCTCGTGGCACGAGAGCTGGCGCGCTACAAGGTGGACATCGCCGCACTCAGCGAGACCCGTTTCTCCGAACAAGGCCAACTGGAGGAGGTAGGTGCCGGCTACACCTTCTTCTGGAGCGGCCGACCCAGGGCAGAGCGACGGGACGCGGGTGTCGCCTTCTCCATTCGGAACGACATCGTGGGACGACTGCTTTGTTTGCCGCAGGGCATCAACGATCGCCTGATGAGCCTCCGCCTGCCTCTCTGGGGAGGCAAATTCGCCACCATCATCAGCGCCTACGCTCCGACGATGACCAACCCCGACGCCGTCAGTGACAAATTCTACGAGGACCTGCACGCCCTCTTGGCGACTGTGTCGAAGGCGGACAAGTTGATTGTCCTTGGTGACTTCAACGCCCGCGTCGGCACAGACCATACTGCCTGGAGAGGAGTGCTGGGTCCCCACGGTCTCCGCGGCTCAAACGACAACGGCCTGCTGCTTCTCCGCACCTGCGCAGAACACCGCCTCCAGCGGGAAAGCACCCGTATCGGACGCAATCCCTGATGAGGTCTACAAGCGCGGAGGTCCCCAACTCATGGATCACCTGACTGCGCGCTTCCAAGAAATGTGGCGTCAAGGCGAAGTCCTGCAAGATTTCAAACACGCAACCATCGTGCATCTCTACAAGCGCAAAGGGAATCGCCAAGTCTGCGACAATCACCGCGGCATCTCCCTGCTGATCATCGCCGGGAAGATCTTCGCACGAATCCTCCTCAACCGCCTCAATAACCATCTGGAACAGGGCCTTCTGCCGGACAGCCAATGCGGCTTCCGTCGTCATCGTGGGACCACGGATATGATCTTCGCCGCCCGTCAACTTCAGGAGACATGTCAGGAGATGCGGACCCACCTGTACTCTATCTTCGTGGACCTGACGAAAGCCTTCGACACGGTGAATCGTGAAGGACTGTGGAAGATCATGCAGAAATTCGGCTGTCCGGAGCGATTCACTCAGATGGTGCGTCAGCTGCACGACAATATGATGGCGCGAGTCACGGACAGCGGAACTGTCTCTGAGGCATTCGCAGTGACTAACGGAGTGAAGCAGGGCTGCGTACTGGCGCCTACCCTCTTCAGTCTCATGTTCTCTGCCATGCTGATGGACGCCTACCGCGACGAACGCTCCGGGATCCGCATCGCCTACAGGACGGACGGTCATCTCCTGAATCAACGGCGGATGCACTTCCAATCGCGCGTATCCACAACCACCGTTCACGAACTCCTCTTCGCCGACGACTACGCCCTAAACACCTCCTCGGAAGAGCAGATGCAACGGAGCATGAACCTGTTCTCTGCCGCCTGCGAGAACTTCGGTCTGGTCATTAACACGCAGAAGACGGTGGTGATGCATCAACCGCCACCCAACTCAGCCACAGCCCCCAACGCGCCGCCGCAAATCAGCGTGAACGGAACCCAACTGCAGGTGGTGGAGAACTTCCCGTACCTGGGCAGTACTCGCTCCCGCAACACCAAGATCGACGACGAAGTCGCCAACAGGATCTCGAAAGCCAGTCAAGCCTTCGGTCACCTCCAAAGCACAGTTTGGAATCGCCACGGTCTTCAGCTGAGCACGAAGCTGAAGATGTACAAGGCCGTCATCCTGCCGACACTACTGTATGGAGCGGAGACTTGGACAGTGTACGCAAAGCAGGTACGTCCTCTGAGCCACTTCCACCTCAGCTGTCTTCGACGCATCCTGAGGCTAAAGTGGCAGGATCGAATCCCCGACACTGATGTGCTGGATTGGACGGGAATCCTCAGCATCTACGCCATACTGAGGCAAATGCAGCTGCGTTGGAGCCGCCACCTGGTGCGCATGGACGACGAGCGACTACCCAAACGACTCTTCTAAGGAGACTTCGCGACGGGTTCTCGCCGTCAAGGAGGACAGATTCGCCGTTACAAGGATACCTGAAATCCTCCCTGAAATGCCTGCAAATCAACCCCACCAACTGGGAGGGACTCGCACTCGATCGACCGACCTGGAGGAGGACAGTGAAGACAGGCGCTGCGATCTACGAAGCCAACCGCATTGCTGCCGCCAAAGCGGAACGTGAAACCCGCAAATCACAACTTCGCCCAGTAAGCAACGCCGCCGCACAACCGCTTTCAACGTGTCCTCGATGTCAACGGACATTCCGTGCTCGAATCGGACTTGTTGGACATCTTCGGATTAAATGCGCCTCTCGAACGGCACCAACCATCGTCCCCCCGCCTGCCTCTTCCTCCTCCTCTCCGCCGCCAACTAACCCTGACAATTCTTCTGACCCACCACTTCCATCCTCCTTCTCCTTCTCCTCCTCCAACAACAACCGCAACCACCCCCCCCCTCTCCCGATTCCAGTGATGAGGATCAGGACTACACCTGCCCTCACTGCGACCGTACCTTCACCTCACACATCGGCCTGGTCGGTCACTTGCGAATCCATCGCACAGAGACTGGCGAACCAGTGCGTGAAGCACCAACCTACACCCACCGCACTCGCCTCCACTGCCCACACTGCCCTCGCACCTTCAGGCATCGCATGGGCCTTTTCGGCCACGTGCGCATCCACGAGAGCGGCCTTGACCGCACTCCCGACACATCCACCACATCCGACACATCCACCGTGCACACCCCCACCCTCGTTCCATTCGTCCGCGCCACCACCACCACGGCCGCCTCCTCTGTAGCTGACACTGACACCGCCGACTTCTCATGCCCACACCGCCCACTCGCATTCACCTCACGCATCGGCCTGGTCGGTCACTTGCGAATCCATCGCACAGAGACTGGCGAATCAGTGCCTGGAGCACCTACTTATACGCACCAAGCTCGTCTCAACTGCCCACACTGTCCTCGCAATTTCAGGCATCGCATGGGCCTATTCGGCCACATGCGCATCCACGACGACCTGCGGTAGACAACCGCCGGTCACACCACACATTCACTCACTCCCTACCTCCTCCACCACAACCATAACCCCACCAGAAATCAAGACTCACACACCTCATGCACCCAACTGCCACCTCCCATGCAAGTGGGAAGTCCGCATCTCGACTCGGTCCCCATGCGGCTTCGGCCGCACGGGGACTTGAGTCCGAGACTATCCCGACACGTCAAGCGTCGTGGATAGGAAGGTTGCTGATTGACGCCCGCTCCCGGTTCACGCAGTTCGTCGCGTTGTGTGTGTGTGTGTGTGTGTTGTGTGGAGTGGCGGACTGGTGGGAAGGGGACGGGCTGAAACAGCACCATCCACAGCACTCTCACGCAAGTGAGAGACACGCCGTTCAACCCCCGTTGTGTGAAATCCTGGTGTTGTGTGTATGGGGGCCAGGTCGTGCCGTGGCGCGCGCGGTCATGGTCAGTCGACCATGACAGCCACCGCGCCCATTCCCCACTCCAGTCTGCTGACCGGCTCGGACAGCGGCTGGGGTGTGGGAGTGGGAAGGGAGAGTGAGGTCGACGACTCAGCGCACTTTCTCCTCACTATAAATAATCTGACTCGTTTGAAGCTATCACGGTGCGCTAAAAGTCGTGGCTTGGAAAGTTGCCAACTGACGGGGTATCTTGGACCTCCTCCTTGACCGGAGGCGGTCTGAGAGTCAGGCTGCAATGGCCCCTTTTTAATGTGGCCTTTATGGCACTCCCATCACTGTGTGGGATCCGAGCCAGGCGTTGGCGGCACGCCCAGGTGCGGCTTCGGTCGTGCCAGCCTCCAAATCTCTCTTGTGTTGGTTGAAATCCTGGTTATTTGTTGTGTGGACCAGGGGGTGTGGTGGAACGCAGAGGTGAGGATCCGTCCGAGCCATCCACCTGCGGCCTCTTTCGTCTCCGGTTTTCTTAACTCTGTCTTGACACCGGGCTTGGGCGAGGGAGGAGGAGAGAGTGTAGGTAGATGCTACGCAAGTCTACCGGCACTATAAACCCCTGCGTAAGTCACCGTCCCTGCTCCCATTGCTGCTGCAACTGTGGGGCACACGGTGTACATCATCGAAACCGATGGTCGAACTGTCATGTATAGATGGTGACATCACGACATTTGCGGGTAGGGCATTCCATGTTTTCAGCAGCTGAACAGAGAAGGAGAACTTCCGCACATCCAGCCTTGCTTGCTGAGTGCGCAGTTTAAACGGGTGACCTCGGAGGTTGGTCGTGGTAGTAAATTCAAAAAGTCCTCGAAGGCCAGGCTGCAATCCAACCCCTTTACATTGCGGAATGCTTGCAAGAGATCCCGCGAGGTGTCCAGTAACTCAAAGGAAAGAGGTTCAGATTTACTAGGCGGGTTGCATAAGGAAAGGAGCTTTTACCCCTAACCATCTTCGTGGCTCTCCTCTGAACTCTTTCGAGGCAGTTTTAATCCTAAACCGCCCATGGTCCCCAGGCTTGTATGCCGTATTCCAAGTGCGGACGCACGAATGTTTCAAATGTCTTTGAGAAATGCGTCATCCTCAAAATGCATAAATGAATGCTTGATGGCGTACACTGCGGACATCGCGCCTTTTGTCACTCTCGAACACTGAGTGGATGGTTTTAGGGACATTATCGTCAGCACACTGAGGCCCTTTTGGGCTTCGAAGTATCGTAAGCTGCACCACTCTGAAAGTAGCTTCTTGTGCTGGCGGATCTGGCTGTGTTGCTTAAACTGAGTATGCCACAACTACCAACGTTAAACACCAGGATCAAACGGTTTGACCACTCCCCCAACCGATTTAGGCGCATCTGCAGTTTGTCTTTGCCCACAGGACACCCCAGACTGCCCTTAATATCTTCATGTCGTCTGCATACACTGATGCATTGTAGTCCATGGCTCTTGCACAGTCGTCCACGTATATTAAAATTGGTCCCAGTTCTGATCCATGGGGGACACCACCCTTGACCACAGCAGCTGAAACCTGCCAAATCGCCGGGCCCAGATAGAATTCCCGCCCTAGCACTTCGCGAACTTGCTAATGAACTGTGTAAACCCTTATCCGCAATATTTCAAAAGTCATTTGAAGACGGCGAGCTACCGGAAGAATGGAAGTGCGCACTGATTACTCCGATCCATAAAGGAGGCTCAAGACTTGACTGCGGAAATTATCGTCCTGTCAGTCTTACTTGCATCGCGTGTAAAATAATGGAACGCATTATCAAAAGACACTTGATGAAATACCTGGAACAGAATAAAATATCGTGCGATGCCCAACACGGCTTTCGTCCAGGGCGCTCCTGCCTAACGAGTGTTCTTTACTCACACGAGAAATGGACACGAGCTACCGATAAGGGTTTTCCAGTAGATGTCATATTTTTTGACTTCAAGAAGGCCTTTGACAGTGTCCCACACAGGCTTCTTTTGCAAAAGATCTGGGATGTAGGGATTCAAGGTAGAATGTTTAAGTGGATCAGAAGTTTTCTGTCCTCCAGACTACAAAGAGTCGTCGTTAGTAATTCTAACTCGGAATGGATAAAGGTGGAAAGTGGTGTCCCACAGGGTTCTGTCTTAGGCCCAGTACTCTTCCTGATTTATGTTAATGACTGCATCAGGGAAGTGAATTGCGAGGCTCTCATGTTCGCGGATAACATAAAAATATGGAGTGAATTCAAGTGTGATGATGACGCAGAGAAGTTGCAGTCGAACATCAACAAACTGTGTGCTTGGTCGAACAGATGGCTTTTGAAGTTTAACGTGTCCAAATGCGTGGTTTTGCACCTGAACACCGGCCGCAATGCCTCTCCCAAACACCAGTACTATATTGACGGGACGAGGTTAGAAACTGTGGAAAGACACAGAGATCTGGGTGTATGGACGACCACAAACCTATCGCCATCAGAACACTGCAGAAAGATGGTCCAGAAGGCAACTAGTACTCTACACTGGATCAGACGTGCATTTAAAATATTTCCTCCCGAACTCTTCGAAAGACTCTTTGGTGTCTTTGTAAGACCTCATCTAGAGTATGGAATGCCAGCAGCTTCACCATGGATGAGGAAGGATATCGACTTACTCGAACAGGTGCAACGCAGAGCGACAAAGATAGTCGACGGTCTAAAGCATTTATCTTATCAGGAGAGGCTAAATTTGCTTGGCCTATTCCCTCTCTCTTATAGACAAATAAACTGCAGTCTACTCTGGACGTTCCGGATTGTTCGCGGCCAGGGTTGCTCATTAAGAGCAGAGGATTTCTTTGAGTTCGCCCGTGCAAACCAACTACGCGGCCATGCATTCAAAGTCGGGAATGAGCGCACACGTTTAGACCGACGAAAATTTTCATTCAGCCAGCGGGTTGTCAGGCCGTGGAACTCGCTTCCAAGCGAGATGGTGACGGCTGACACAGTTTGTGTGTTTAAAAGAAAACTTGCTCGCCTAGTTTTCGACAGAAATCGGCATGTACATCATGCCTATGCACAGCCAGTTTTGTAAAATCTGTCATATACAATCTTCCGCACTAATTTACAGTGACCCCATGCACTACCTTATGATTACGATTGAACTGTGACCCAATCACATTTTAAATGCCTGCAAATTTATTTTATTTTTGAGTATGAATCTGCGAAAGCACTGTACATAAATAGGGTCATCAAGGGCTCTGCCTGTAACCCTTCAATATACATACACACATACAGGATCTCATTTTCCTTGGTCAATGCTCGCAACCTGCTGTCGACTCAAAAGGAAGGTTTCGATCCAGCTCGGGAGGTTGTCACCGATCAGTTTTTGTAACAGTCTCTGATGTCGCATAGTGTTGAACGCCTTCTGGAAGTCCATGAAGGCTATGTGGACCGCGTGCCTGTCGTTGAGAGCTCGGGTCCAGGTCAGAAGAGATTGCAACAAGTTTGTCGTGTAGGAGCTTCCTTTATGGAACCCACGTTGGCATTTGGATAGCAGGCTATGAACTTCCAGGAAATGCATCAGTTCACTCTTCATGATCCTTTCCATAACTTTGCAGATAATGTGTGTCAGGCTTATGGGTCTGTAATTCATCGTCGATGCCCAGCAACATCCTCTGTACACCGGAGTAATATGCACCAACTTCCAATCGACAGGAAGTGTTCCGATGTGAAACGACGTTTGAAAGAAAATCGACAAAGTTGCAGAAGGCTCACTGGCAAGTTCTTGGAGAAGCCTGGGTTGAATCTCGTCTGATTCTGGTGGCCCGGATTCATTCAATGCCTCTAATTCTCTTCGGAATATGCCTTCTGAGAGGAGTACATTACTTAAGCTTGGAGTCGGCAGTTTTTCCGTAGATTGAGGAAGGAACCTTGTCCCATTTGTATAGGCGGATTGGAAAAGCTGTGGAAAATAAGCAGCCTTAGAATAGAATAAGTTTATTAAAGCGCCCCTTCGGTACTGTGAGTCTCCTTTGAACACAGGAAAATAATCTTAACAAAGTCATCCATTTCGACCGCACTTTGACCTCATTTGTTTTGTGTGTCTGGTTAGCCAATAGGGCGCGAATTGCGAGTTTGTTTTAAGTTAAAAAAAAACCTGAGTTCCACGAAAAAATAATCGCAAAAGTTTAAACAAGGAACGATATGTACAATATACAAACTGAAGTGTGCAGATTGGTAGCTTCTGAGGTGCCACGAAAAATATGTCCTTCATGGGAACTGAAGAACTTTGAAATCAGCCTAGCCTTGAAAGTGTTTTCCAGTTGGGTAAATTTGGGTATTTTCTAGTTGGTGGTTGTCAGTCTTGAAGTGAGCGGTCCGTCTGGCTGTCCTGTCAGAGAGATCGGCCCTGGTTTAACGTTCTTCGTCATGATAGAATCAGATAAAACAGGGGTTGGTCCGAGCCGGCTTGTTTGATCGGTTCATGATTTCGAAATCACACGGCAGGCAGTATTTCAGACAAACAGCTATAACCTGGACAACTAAGATAGTCGATAATTTAAACGGTATATTGAGTGAATAGAGACGGAGAGAAGAAAAACAAAGAGCGTC